ATTTTTCTAGATTTATTATTTAATTATTTAAACTTATTAATATCAAATTTTTACCCTATGGATGGAATAGAAAATAATCGTAAAACAAGGAAAAATGTTACAAAAGAGCACATTGAAATGCTTAAACATTTAGTTGAAAGAAATCAATCTACAACAAGCATTTCCACTTCTCTTAATTTATCGAAGCGCACAGTTCAAAATCTTGTCGTTAAGTTAAACAGAGGAGAATTCGACGACATGACTGCATTCAAGTCGTCTTCTGATAAAAAACGAGGTGAAAGACCTATAAACGCTCAAATAAAAAATATTATCGAGTTATGCGTACAAGAAAACAATCTTTGCACGCAAGAAACAATAAAAGAAAATCTTTCTGCAGCAGGCTTCAACATGTCTCAGCCTACTATTTCAAGAAAACTCAAACGCTCGGATTTATCAAGAAAACGTGTTGTGCATGTGCCAGAAGAACGAAATTCAACACGAATTATTAATGCACGCTATGCATTTGCAAGCAAAATTAACAGAATTTCAGATGAAAAACTTATTTATTTGGATGAAACTGGATTTAATGTGCACACTAACAGCACATATGGTTATTCGCTAAGAGGTGCGCCAGCAATTTTACAGTCGCCTGCAAATCGTGGCAAGAATGTTAGTTTAATTTGTGCTGTTTCAACAATGGGAGTGCTTGCTTATGAAACAAAAACTGGAGGCTGGAATGCAGATTCATTTTGTACTTTCATAACTACAATGATGGCACGAGCGATTAGGAATGCAAATGTGGAAGCGCCGGTGCTTGTTATGGACAATTGTAAATTCCACTGGAGTCTTTCTGTTAGGCAAACACTAGCCTCTCATGGTATAGCTATTAAGTATCTGCCAGCTCACACGCCACAGCTTAATCCAATAGAAGAATTTTTTTCTTCTTTAAAACATACTTACAAACAGGGAGAAAGGCCTCGAAATACGGATGAGGTAATCAGGAAACTTAAAAATATTATGGATACTACAGAGTTTAATATAGTTCCATTTTACAACCATATGCGTAGTTATATAAATCAAGCGCTGTCTCGGCAACCATTTCTTAAATAAATAACAATGAAAACAATCTAATTTATATTTTAAATGTCTATATAAAAATTTAAAAGCGTATTTATCGTTTATATTAAATTATATTAGAGATTTTATGGGTGGTTGACGCATATACAAACATAGGGATGTATAATTTGATATTAATAATAATTATAAATAAGTAAATTTAAATCGAGATAAATGAATAATTAGATAAATAATAACTTAATCAATCAAGAAATTTAATAAAATTACAAAGAACTAATACTAAATTAAATAAACCATCGTCGAATTTAAAAAGTCTTCGTTTTAAGTATTTTTAACCTCGTTTGCCTGGAAATAAGAAAAGTTTGTTTTGAAAAAATAAACTATTTTTTCAAAACAAATTTCTTGAATGATTTTTTTTTTTTGTTCAAATTGCTTTTTTACAATTGCTTTTGTAAAACGCATATAAGAATGAATAAAGGCGCATATAAAAATGAATAAAGGCGCATATAAAAATGAATGCGCATATAAAAATGAATAAAGGCGCATATAAAAATGGATGAATGCGCATATAAGAATGAATAAAGGCGCATATAAAAATGAATAGACGCGCATATAAGAATGAATAATCCTGTAAAATTAAACTAAAAACTAATACTAAGTTAAATAAACCATCATCGAATGTAAAAAGTCTTCGTCTTATAAGTATTTTTAAACTTGTTTACCAGGAAATAAGAAAATTTTGCTTTGAAATAAGAAACTGTTTTATCAATGATTTTATTAAATGATTTTTTTGCTTTTTTACAATTGCTTTTGTAAACCACATAAAAATGAATAAATGCGCATATAAGAATGAATAAATGCGCATATAAGAATAAATAAAGGCGCATATAAGAATGAATAAATGCGCATATAAAAATGAATAAAGGCGCATATTATATGCGCCTTTATTCATTTTTATATGCGCATTTATTCATTCTTATATGCGCATGAATAAATGAATAAATGCGCATATAAGAATGAATAAATGTGCATATAAGAATGAATAAAGGCGCATATAAAAATGAATAAACGCGCATATAAGGATGAATAACCCTGTAAGTTATTTACGCGGTATTTCATTAAAAACTTTTCTCCTGCGTAGAGAATTCTCTCGCACGGTACTTATGCAATTTAAATCATTAAATGATTGGATTGGTGTTGCTAGCAGACTTTCTGACTGCATTTGCTTGTGAAATGACAAAATCCTTGTAAATTTTTTTCAAGGTAATTTAAAAAAGTGCAATAAAAAAAAAAAATACGGGCCTGAAAAACAAAAGAACAAAAAAACTTGTCAGGTCTGTAAAACAAATATCAAGCAGTAAGATAAAACAAATAAGAGCAGTAATTTCTTTACCTGGAATATCTTAAAAATCACCAACAGAAATAGTGATTTTGGTACAGATCAGATTTATGTTCACTGAAATGATTTATCAAGTCTTGTAAACTAAGTTATTCAATCTCAAAAAATTTTAGTGGCTATAAAGCTAGGAATCAAATATTGCAAAGGGATAAAACTAGTTTAACGCCACAACAACAACCACTACTCAAAGGACACTGTCAAGAAACAAATTCTTGTTGGAGTGTCAGAAGGTTTGTCAGAAACACCCTCATTAATCAGTTTTCAGACTTGTTCAAATATTGAACAAATCTGGTCACTGGTTTATGTAATCGGAAGTAAATTAATTTTAACTTTTTTTTGGAAATTACCCCTCCGATGGAATTGCTTCTTCACTTGGAGTTGTCAATCATCTCCTTTAAGATCTTTAAAAACGCTTGAGTAGAAGCTCTTAAATGGCCAGATGCCATCCGCTGCATTAATGCATTCAATTGAGCCAAAGTCATGGGATCCAGTTAGAGAGAAACAAATGCAGGTAGTTTTAAAAATGTGGATATGCTGCAGCAACTTGCTATTATAAACATGGTTCCCAACATCGTTCATATAATTGAAGCACTCAAATGTTTCAATTCAAATTATCAAAATCCAAAACTACTCATTAAGTTTTTGGTCAAAATTAGTGTAAGATATAAGCAAAATTTATCCAGAGTTTAAATCAAGATTGCGCTGCATAATTGAGCGGCCGTAAGGAAAAAGGCATAAACATCAAGGCGTGAACAAGACCGCGAGGTCTTTTTAAATTAAAAGAAAAAAAATAATATGAACAGTAAACATATTCAAAGCTAATATAGTTTTTTAAGTTATTAGAGATAGAAAAGTAAAAACTCATAGTTTGCAGTTTATAATGAACAATTTCACCTTTTTAATCCTTAAATGCTATTAGTTGAAAAATTAGGAATTTAAATATAGAGTATTTGTAATAAAAAAGTATATTGAGCTATTTTTAACACAGTTTTTCTAAAAAAATCAATGAACATGTCTTAAAAGTAATAAGATGATTCAAGTAAAATTTGAATAGTTGGCTATTACATTTTTACATAGAGCATATGTAAATATATAATAACAGTTATTTTTTGAAACTTTGAAAATAATTTTATAACTTTGTAAATAATTATTTTGAATGATTTCAATTTGTTCACAGAAACGAAATTTATTATTTGCTTATTTTAAAAACTGTTAGTCCTTTGACCAAGCTTTACACTTTTTTTAATCAATTTATTTTGTAATTTGGCAGTAGTTTATACTTTACGAAATGTTAATATACTCATGCTATGGATAAGCCAATTTTAACCAGGGTTTAGGTAGCAAATCATTATTTTGCTCAATAAAACAAAAATGGCGCATACACCAATAAAAGAATTATAAAAAATAGTGTTGGTATTATATAGAAGAACACTCATAAAGCCTTTTAAAATTAGTGAAATCACAGTAATCAATAAAGCTTTGATTCGCCGAATGGTCACACACGAGCAGTGAACGCCTGAGGGAAGAAATGAAGTACATTAGAATAAAGGAGAATTATTTATTAGACAAATGATATTTTGACAGTTGTCAAGATAAAAATAAAGATTAATAGAGGAATATTTAAAAATAAATAAGTAGCAAAAGATTATAAGTCAAAGTCAAGAAGTTTTCACCAACTTACTGAAACCTCCGCTTATTTTGCTGTTACTGCCAATAACTGCTTCAATACATCACTAGAATATATATATATATATATATATATATATATATATATATATATATATATATATATATATATATATATATATATATATATATATATATATATATATATATATATATATATGTATATATATATATACATTTATATATATAAATATATATATATATATATATATATATATATATATATATATATATATATATATATATATATATATATATGTATATATATATATATATATATATATATATATATATATATATATATATATATATATATATATATATATATATATATATATATATATATATATATATATATATATATAAACGTTTTAAATTTTGAAAAAATTATAGTATATTGTCTTGTCAAATAAATTAGGCAGGGGTATCTAAAAAGCAGTTTTAAAGACGTTTAAAACGCTTAAATATATTAAAAAAAAAAGTGTTGCTTAGTGTTTTTATTCAAAATCTTTAATAATACTTTAGTCAATTATACTACAACATTATATGTGCAAACTTGCAACAATTAATTGCTCGTAAAATGAGCAGTTAATTGTTGCAAGTCTTATTTCAGCGCTTCTTTATCTGGATAAATAAACTTGTAACTAAATGTTATGTATGATATAACTAAATATGTATGTAGTATAAGTAAATCAGTACATACAGAAATTTATTTCGTGATTTAGTGAGAGAAAAAACAAAACTTTTTTATACGCATTTCAATTATACTGAAATTAAATTTTTAAAAATGAAAAAATTTTCCAAAGTATAAAGATTAAATGTCATTCTACTATTAACAATAGTTTTTTAATTAACGCAGGTTGCAGCCTAAAAGTGGAAGGAAGCTCTACGGGAATACACACATTATATGGAATGTCTTCCTACAATCTAACAATCATTTCCAATCAAAATGATTCGGTGTGCAAAACCGAACCAATAGTCGAGCCTATTTTTACGCAAGATTATCAAAACTCGATGAAATTTCTCCCAGACTTTAGCCCTTATTTAAAACAAGGTTTTTTTGCTTCTATCATAAACACTACTAAGGTTTGCTTTTTTTTACTTGCTTTTATATATTAACTCATCTAAGATCTGTTGCTTTTTAACTATAAAATAAACAAAAATTTTCGCTACTTAATTGAAGGTCGTCAAAATCTGGTTATTTATGGCGAAGAGCGTAGTGCAAAACATATTTTTAATTAAGATTTGTACCACGCTCTCCTATATAAGAAACCTAATTTTTACATTCCTAACTTAATGTCAAAATTTTTTTTATATTGAAATCTCATCAAATCTCATTTTATCATTAAGTTAAACACTTAAATTAACAATTTAAAAAGTTTGAAAATTAGATACAAATATGAATTAAATTTAATCTTTAAATACAGGTTCAATTAAAAGTTATGTTACATTTAAATGGTCTCTTATTAAAACTGTTTATTAACTGCGACGGCAAAGAACAGTGTGTTGCAATCAAGTTTGAAGGACAGTCGGAATGTGAGTTTTTATTTTAATTTTTTTGTAATATCTGCTTTAAACGAAACAGTTAATTTTTTAAAAGTAATCTTTTAATGTAGAAATTTACTTCTAAATGCATTGTCGCTTACAATATAAATAACAAAATACCAAAGGAAAATGAAGTGTTTCATTTTTGTCTTTTTTCAAATATATGTTTATGAACCATATTAGTGGAGAGTGGGGAGAAGTGGGACATGTAAACTTTTTTTAGGGTAATGCGATATCTTTTTTATTTGATGTATAAGCTAAACCAAACAAGTTTATACGAAAAAACCTTTTTTTAAAACACCGATTCAATCCCCTTAGGTTTCCTGACAACTATAACTAATTGTATAAACTTTTGCTTTTAGAGAATTATTGGGGTGAAGTAAAAGTGGTGAGTAAAAGTGGGAAGAATAAATTTAAAACAACATTTTAACACAAATTATTAAATAGAACTGGTAAAATCATAAAATCATCTAATCCACATAAAAATATTCAAGAGCTTTCACTAATCGAAATAATCAAATGGCGACGGAAGGAAGCGGGACATAAATATTTGTTTTTTCTGTCCCACTTCACCCCAATATAAACACTTTCAAGGTACATTTCAAAATTAGGGCTTCTAGGGCAGGGAAACAAAGCAATCCTAATTACAAATTTTAGGCTGCCCCATTTCTCCCTCGTTTCACTTTTCCCCACTCTAAAATGTTGCTCACTATTTAAAGTATTAGTCAGGATTGTTATTAAAGCTAAAAAAAAATAGTCTGAAAAAGAGTTTGTTATTCTTAGCTTAGTGATAGTAATACAAATTGTTAATTTTGCTATTTTTGTATAGATGCATATTATTTTTTAGAGTGACAACTTGAAACTTTTTTTTGAAAGTTAGCTTGGGTTCCTAATAACTCTAACCTTTCCTGCTCTTTTCCCCCTTCTTCCTTTCCCGCAACTGCAAACCCTTTGCTGCATTACTGTCCTAGGCAATTTTGTCCTAAAAAATTTAGCTGTGTATAAATAAAAATAAAGTTTTTTTAAGTATGATTTATTAAGAACCGGTCTTGATATATACATGAATATTTTGAGAGATCTTATTTTCACTATATTTAATATGAAATTTTGGGGACAGTTTGTCTTGCCTTACTAGCTTATTTTATTAAATAGAAATCACATAATGACTGTAACAAACCATGCTATGGCGGATATCTGGTTCGATATCGTTTTTGTGTTGAACCCAGACCTGATCATGGAGGCAAAAATTGTGAATGAAATTCAACAGAAAAAATTAAATGTAATATTTATAAATGCAATGGTTTGTTTTTTAATAGTAATTCTAACTGTTACTATTAAGTTTGTTTTTCAAGACATTTTGACTTTTAGAAGTGATTGTTCTGGTAAACCTAACCCAAAAGAAAGTACTAAAACAAATTAAATAAAAAAACAAATTAATTTAGTCTTCTCTACAATTAATGAAAATGTTTTTACTAATAATTACAATAATGAAGCAAAGTTCAAGAATTAAAAAATTACCAGTTATACAATTAACACAACAATCTGTAATAAAGAATTTTACCTTATGTATAACAGATATTCAATTAAGTTAATAAGTTTTAATAAAATTAAAAATTTGTCTCAAGCTAGTTTACTTTTAAATTATCCTGTTTTAATCGTGGTAGATTTTAGTTTTATTAATTCACTTTTATTAATATTATTAAATGTAAGTTTATACAATATTTATGTACTAATTTGATCTTTAGTTAATTAACATTTACTTTAAATATCAATAGATAGGGGGAGGGGGGGGAAGAAGGGCAGGAAGAGTTGACTTTCAAAAAAAATTTCAAGTTGTCACTCTAAAAAATAATATGCATTTATACAAACATAGCAAAATCAACACTTTTGTACCACTACTACACAGCTAAGAATAACAATTTTTCAGACTATTTTTTTAACTTTAATAATAATCTCGACTAATACTTTAAATAGTAAGCAACATAAAAATAATATGCATCTATACTTTATCTATAATACTTTAAATAGTAAGCAACATTTTATTTAATTGTACCTAAAAGAATAAAATATAATTTTAGTAAGTAACAAGTATGATATCGTAACGTTCTAAATCAAAGTGCCTTAATAAAGCTATGTATACTATATCTTGTGCAATAGTAAAGCTTGTATACTATATCTTTATTACTGTTTTTTTTTAAGGGAGTTTTTCTTTTACTGTTGTAAAACAATAACTTGCCTTAAAGAAAAGACGGACGTCGAGGAGACTGTGTAGATAATTTTTGTTAAGTAACTTTACCATTCTCCTATTAACGACAACTCCGTGTGATGTTATGCAGACAATATTTGACAAAGCTATATTAAAATCATTAAAGCTTTTTTTCAATAAGTTCTGCGCATACCTCAGCAGGTGCAGATTAATGAATTCGACGTAATCTAAAATTCCAAAAATTAATATCATTTCCATGAATAATAATATTTGTATACCGGCGGTTTTTACTAAATGTTCCTTCATCTGTGGTAAGGCTAAACACTTTTTTATTTAGCTTATTCTGTAAAATTTTATTTTCCATTACACTCCTTATTTTATTGGCATAATACATTACTTTTTTTTAAATGGCTTTGAGCGATTTAATATCTGTATGTAGCCTTTTGCTTTTAATAATATCTTTAAATCTTCAGATGTTCAAAACTTATTGAAAGAAAAGTCATCTTTTGCAATCATTTTTGAAAGTACAGCTTAGTCGTTTTTTTTTTCAAAAAAGAAGTAGTTTTTGATGCTACAGCAATTGCCGGTTCTTCGTAGCATTTTTCCATATTTCTTTTTAATGCATTAATCTTATATCGACTTATTTGATGGCAATTTGAACCACCAGTACTTCCACCTGCTGTTTTAATTCTTTTTGAGCATCATTTATATAAAGCTATATATCTCGTTTCTATACGATGATACTAATTCCAAATAGAACTTTTATTTATTAAACGGTATTGTAGATCTTTAAAATGAATTTTATAATATTGTAATTTATTTTTCATTTCAACAAACGGAAAATAAAAAAATAAAAAAAACGCATTTAATATTAAAATTAAAACTATATGTCATTACTCTATTTAAACTGTAAAAACCGTTTTATTTAAGATCCTATGACCGAAAGTTCAATTGCAAATGCAACAGGGTTTACAACTCCAATCCCTGTGACAACAACAACAAAAACAACAACAACTGCGACAACAGGACCAAGTACAACAGTTCTTACCACCATTTCTATTACAACATCAGGGTTAAATTCTACAATGTTAGCAACGACTACAACAACTAATACAAGTTTACCAAACACTTCCGAATCGACAACATCTGCGAGGTCAAATTTATCTACAAACTTAATCAGTACTTTAAGTCCAAATACTACGACAAGCATAATAACTGATATTCCACTAAATAATGGAAGTTTTAGCACTAATATCAGTACTTCAAGTCCGAATACTACAACAAACGTAAAAACTGATACTCCTCTAAATAATGGAAGTTTCAGCACTGTTAGCAGTTCAAACTTTACTACTACTATCATAACTACACAAAACGAATCCGCATTTACCAATGCAACAACGGTTGTAACTATATCAACAGAAAGTAGTGAAACTTTAACGACAACCGTAATAACAACTAATAATAAATCGAATGGAACAACAAACCTTCCAGCAAAAAGCGATGCTATTGTAGGAAAAACGAGTTACATTGGTCAGATTATTGTTGGCATAGCAGCATTCTTAGTTCTACTTGTTATTGTTCTTATACTTGTTCTTGCTTACAAAAAGTAATTCTTTTTTATTATAAAAATACTAATTTAACTAGTTATTTATATATATATATATATATATATATATATATATATATATATATATATATATATATATATATATATATATATATATATATATATATATATATATATATATATATATATATATATATATATATATGTACGTATAAATGTTTTATTTATAGGAGAAAAGAAAAGTCATTCTTTAGAATCCCTCCAACGGTAAGTCTCCTTGGAAGTTTAATTTCTCTATATTGCGATTACATTATGTTTTTAGCGACATTAGGAACTATAGTAAATATATAAACGTGATTATTTGTCCATTAGGCAAACTTATGCGCCAAATTATGAATCGAAACAATTTTAGTTAGTTATAATAAATATGACTTTCCACAATTAAAACAAACAACTTGCTCAAGAAAAAATTAAGCTAAATATTAAACGTAATATTTGGTAGTAACCATAATATTAAAACAAGTTTTTGTAAGACAATATTATTGAAAGCAGTAAAAGTATTAAAACTGTTTAAAGTATATTTTTATTAAATATAATAGTGGCTATAATAATAACTGTCCGCTTTAATGTGGGGAAATTTAAATTCGCTTTCACCACAGTCAAAAGGGTAATAGGGATTTTCGTTTAATTTATGCACTTGATGAAAAGCATCAACCTGGGTAAACCATTCATTAATTTTTTTCAGTTACAAAGACACCCCTACGGGCATTTGTTTTTCAAAGTTACGTTCTAAATATCTTTTAAACATTTTATAAACGTCTTTTAAACGTTTTTTATGTAAGAATGTTTAGAAAACCATTAAAAAGCATTGAAAATACGTTTAGAACGTAGCTTTTAAAAAGAAATGCCTGCTGGGACCGCTTTTACGCAAATGTTTTTCCCATTATTTCTCCATGAGACTATTGTACCACTTTTTAGTTATACTAACAATTAATTAATCTCATGGTTTCAGTTTAAACTTCTTTGAACTTTTTTCCTTATAATTCTTTTTCTTGTTCAGTGATTCAATTAAGGAAACTTTTTTTTTTTTTGTTTTTTTTAATTCTAACAAAACTAAAAAGGATAAAAACAAAAGTAATAAAAATATCATAACTACTCGGACTTTTTTTTTGTTTAAACTCTTAATAAATTTTCTGTCTATTCTTGAGCATCTTCCCAGACTTGATTTTGTAACCTAATAGATATAAAGTATATCCATTCTTTTAATGTATCAAACCTACTTTTGCATCTAATGATTCAAAAATACAACATTTTCGTTTGCTTTTGATAAAACATTATTTTATCAACTAGAGTAAAATATTGAAAACTCCTAACAACTTTTAAAATGCTATATAAGAACATATCGAATCTTTGTCTCTTATAAAGCACGAAGTTTTCAACTTTTATTTATTAGGGTAAAAAAATCTGAAATTTTAAACAGTTTGTTTTTACTTGTTAAGGGATTGTAGAATAACTATAAATATAGAAAACATATTTATAATCTTTCTTTTAGTTTTGGTTTAACAGTCTTAAAGAAGCATTTCAGTTTTAATTTTAAATTTTACTCATTTATAAACAAAGCATACGTTCTTTTAAAATCTTTTAACTTTCCACATAACCGCAAAAACAATAATCCACTTTTAAGTACACTGTTACAAGAAAAGTAATTATAACAAATAATAGCAGTTGTTTGACAATAATAATGCAAACCGCATTTTTACCTCATATTTGACATTGTCAGATGTTAACAATTTAAATTATTATCTAACAATTCTAAATAGTTGATATGAGAACAACTTTAAGTAAGATATAATATAGTTATTTGTAAGGTAAACAGGGTGATGCATAAGTTATTGGACAAGTTTTAACCTAATTTTATAAGCTAATTAAATTAGCTGTATGATAATGATAATATTTGATATGATAGGTATATTATAATGACTAATATGATAAAATTAATTAATTAGTAAATAATTGATTTTATCGTATTTATTTATGATTGAATCAATTATTTAGCTAATAAAGTTGTTTAATTCATGATAAGATTGATAAGTCTAGTTTATGATAATCATGTGGTTTTAACCCATGTAGATAAAAAGTTTATGGATTATTTATTTGTTAATAAAAACAAATTTATGAAAATGCAGCAGAAAAAGAACCTTTTCTAAAGCGTCTTAATAAAGGGTCAGTCAGAGAAAATTTAGTCTTAAACTTGGTATAAATCAATTGTTAATTGATCATAAGTAAAAAAAAAAAAGAAAATTCAATTCAGAATATTCTTAGAATACCATTGAACATGAGAACCATTTATGATAATAAATACTTTTGTAAGATAAGAAATACTTTTATTTTTTAGATGATAATATGCTTGTAAATTCTGGATACTACACAGAGATCAAAGAAACATGCCCAGAGTGTTTATTTTGTGAGAAAAGTGAAGTTATTACTAACTAATAATATGGATTTCCATTTCTAACCGTGGTAGGTTTGAGCCATTGTTTCGTACTTCTAAGTTTGTAGCAGTACATCAATATATGCTGATGAATGTTTAAAAAAACGACCTTCTTCCATTCATTAACAAGTATCATGGCAACTTTAACTATTTATTTTGGCCAGATTTAGTAAGTTCTCATTACACACTAAAAAAACTAACGCCAAAATAACAATAACAACCACAAAAGTTAATGCTAAAGTTGAGCAAATACAACCCGTTATATTAGCGTTATATTACAGTTATATTGGCGTTTAATTTGGAATTATTTTAGCGTTATTTTTATCCGATATATTTGCTCAACTCCGGCGTTATATTGGCGTTATATTGACGTTATATTGAAGAAAAATGAATTAACAGCATATTCGTTATATTTGGCGTTGTATTTATTAAACTCATCCTATTTTTACAAGCACATTATTAAAAACACAATAAAAACGTTTTAAGATAAGAGTCACTTAAATGAAGTAAATTTTTTTTATTTGAATATGTCCAGTAGGGTGACACAAAACAGGGTTGAAAAATGAAATTTTTTAAAAATCAATAACCAAAGTTGCTTAACTTGTTCTACAAGATTCAGTTAGTCTAAACATAAAACTTCACTTATTTTTGTTTGTTGAAAGTGCTACATGTAATTTTTCAAATATTGAGGATTGGCTGAACTTTATGTCATTTTTACGGGTTAAAATATGGGTATAACTTAATTTTTGTTTGATCTTAGAAGGAAAAAAACACTGTTCATAATTTTATACAGTTAACTACTATTTTAGATTAATTTTCAACTCTAGGCTCTAGCTCTACTAGTTCTTTAAGCGACATTTTTTTTTGTTATTAGTTTCTATTTTCCCTGACTACCAAAAACATGTTCTCTAATCCTCATTGTTGGAATTGTGAACAAAGTTTTTAATTAAACTAATATTTCGTTCTGCGCAGCCGTTGGCCACACTTAGATTGCGAACTAACTGAGCTAAATGTGAGTATGAATCTAGCGCTAAGAAATCACTTGAAATTTACTACTCTCGAGTAACCTTTTAGTAAAAAAAAAAGCCAACTCTCCTTTGTAATTATATCTTCTAATTGACTACCACTGGTAACAATAACAACAGAAAGAGCTTCTACAGAAGTCTCTGATAACCCACGAACTGGAAATTTTAAAAGTTTCTCAATGATTAAACGCTTAGCATCTGCTTTCGTATGAAGATCACCTAACGATAGTAAGGCAACTTTAGGAGACAAATACAGAGTGTAGTTACTAATGCTTTTCTGAAGTGAGTTTCTAACTTCATAGTCCCTTTCCGATTTAATTGTTACAGCAATTTTGAATGCATTAAAATCATTTAGAACGCCTTTCTTAAACCAGGCTTTGCCTGATTTAAGAAAGGCGTGTTAATGATAAGTAGCAACAATAAATGCAACCCTTGAGACCATATGTTACTTTTCAGAAGTCAGATACATGAGACTGTGAATGTCATATTGAACATTAGAAAGTATATTGCATAGGCTATAAAACTTGCATTGTGACACTCACCAGGCTGATAGATGTTAAAATTTTTTTATTTCTCAGATTTAACGTTTGTGTAATTCGCCAAATGTTCAACAAGATGCCTAAAATCATTCCTAAAATATTTTTATTTAATATCCTTTAAAAAAAAAGTATATTTATGGAAAAACTAACTCATTTTATATTATTGTTACATACCTGGGAAAGATTTAATGTTCTAGTGCTTTAGTTACAAACTTTTTAGACTTTAAATCTTTTTAGATATCGTTTGAACTTTTCTACAGCACCATTAGCTGAAACTTTAGGATAAAATTCTGTTATCCATTTTTTCAGAAAATCTTTTAGCAACTTATTTTCAGGGGCTTTAGAAATTTCCTTTGAAATTGTTTTTAAAGCGTAAGTAATATTTATCTCGGCAATATGGTGTCTATGCAATAACCCAAGAAATGGTTTACCAAAAAATCTTGCTAAAACAGATATTGACCCAGATTTCCATCCAGTGTTACTTACTTTGGTATAAGAACAGAATTCTTCAATATCATCACAAATCTCAAAATATTCTAGGAGATTCATAATACATATAACCATATTGATTCCATTACCACTATCAGTTGTCACAACATCGAGTAAAAGATAATCTTTGGTTTCAAACTCATGGCTAATTACAGATACCGATAGTCTATCTGCAGTAGTTGCTTGTCTAGCGTTCTCCTCAATATGCTTTAAAATTTTACCATTAAAATGTAAAACTAACATCTTATTAGCCATTAAATAAATATATTAATTACGTATCTGGTCTCCTTCCTTTTCTAAAAATCTAAAACGATATATGCATGCGTGCATCTGCCTTCTAAAAGATTCTTTGCGTATCTTTAGTTGTTTAACATCTCCTCCTAAATTGTTGGAACAAAAACTTCCGACTCTAAATTAATATAAAGAATTTTAGCTTAGTTATGCATTTACTTCAAAAAATTAATAATTTTACCTAAAATGCCCTATACAGTAATCTTTCTGATACACAACTACTCCAGCCAGCCCAGCAGATATTAAACTAATTGCCTCAGCAAACTAATTGACGTTTTTTATTATATACCAGTTACAAATTTAATAGTACCAATATTTTATAGCTGAACCAAGTTTGCTATCGTAAAGTTGAAGTTTTTATCTTACAATAAAAACTTCATTACAACTTATAATACAAACAGTCTTAAACTTTTTTATAAACATTTATTCTAA